AAACCTTGGAAGATATTGTTGTTGTAGCTAGCTTTCTTTATTTACTTTGTAAAGACCTCGCCACTGTAAATTTGTCCTATCAATAGATGTATATATGTTATGTCTGTCACATCTCAGGAATAGCAGTATTGTAAATTCTTGGGGTGTGACAGGTTGTTTCGATGTTAAAAAATCCTCAAATCGATCATCTCGACCTCAAGATATATAGACCTCAAGATATATAAGAAAAAATGGATTTCGTATCGTAGTGTATCATGTAATGCACTATCTGGACCGTCAATTTTTAAGATATTCATAGTTATGCTTGATATACACTACTTTTGAAGCTTTAAAGTTTATAATTAAATATAAAAATAAATTTTCAGGCCATCATAGAAATTACTAGGACTAAAACATCTTTCGATACTATTTAAAGGTGTGGCTTCCTTTGTTTGTTTAGGGAAAGTTTATGGAAAAAGGATGTTTCTAAAAAACCTTGAGTTGATCATCGTGACCTTGAAATATATGAATATGGAAAAAAAAGGTTTCCAAGTATTAAAAATAATATATTTTATAATATATTATCTAGAGTATTCATTTTCAAGATTTTTCCCAATAAATATAATTGGCGGCATTTCAACTTCATAAAGTACATGTATTGAAGAGAGAGAATGAGAGAGAGAGAGGAGAGGTATTCCCAAGCTTCTAGAAGGTAATTTCTCATAGTGGGAGAGAGATAAGTTGGCAAACTACTGAAGCATAATGCTTTTTTTATACTACCCACAATGAGTAATGCAATAAGGAGACGTTTCTTATGTTGGGGCTCAATTTTATTTGCCATCCATTTTCAACTTCGCAAGTGAGCCATCGTGCTTTTGTTATGTTAATGACTAACATAATAAGGAGAGTTTTCTTATGTTGGGGCTCAATTTTGTTTCCCATCCATTTTCAACTTTTCAAGTGAGCTGTTAAAATTATGATGTGGAAGGAAAGCATTCTATACTTCCTTTACTAGATATATATAATTTGCCCTCATTCAGCCGTCTAATTTAGATCAAGCTGCGCTTTGACCTAAATCCAACGTCTTAGAATATTTTATTTTTATTTTTTTTACAAATTATATGAATATAAAATTTGGTACGTGACATCGTTTCAAAAAGATACACATAAAAAAAAATATTAGAAAAATATTCTTGATAGAATAAAATAACCAAAATACCCTTGAAATTTTTAGGGGTATTTTGGTCATTTTATTTTATTTGGAATTTTTTTATATTTTTTGCCGGTGCTAGTTCAAGAGAGGAGTGCAAGTCTAAAATTTGGTGTCGCAATATTTTGTAGAAAAAAATTAAAAATAAAACAGTGTAAAGGTGTGATATTGTGATTGGGCTCATCTCATATATCCATTCAGATCAGACAGCTCAATATAATTTTTATACAGTAGAAGAAGTATAGAAAGCATTCCTATTTGTGGAGGGTGTGATATTGCTCTTCTTTGCCTTCCCCCCTCTCTCTCTCAAAGATATGATCACGTGGCTTCTTCCGAGGTAAAAACAAATAGGAAAATTACAAATAACCCCCAATACTAGACTTTTTATACAGGTCCCACAACCAAACTTTTTTCTCACTTTTTTTCTCAAAATACATTTTTCTAGTAAATACCCCTCAAATAAAAAAAGGTACTTTTTTTTTAGGAAATACCTTTTTTCATACATAAAAATTTAATTTTAGCTTGATATTCACGTGGGCTTACAAGGGCTGCCAGACCACTCTTTTACATTGCCGGACCACATGGGCATATTGTCGGACCGCTCTTTGGCAGGGCCGGACCACATGGGCGTATTACCGGAGCGTTCTTTGTCAGTGCTGGACCGCTACTGTTATTTATTGGACCGACATTACACTGTCGGACCACCCTAAGAGTAAGCCGGACCACCTTTTCGTGGGAAAGAGGAGAGAGAGGCGTAGGTAAAAATAAGGGAAGGTAGTTTAGATTTTTGTTTTTTTTTTTAATTAGGGGTTATTTGTTAAGAAAATATATTTTGGACTAAAAAATGAGAAAAAAAGTTTGATTGAGGGTAAAGTCTAGCCTCGTAATTTTCCCAAACGTAACGTACTAATAGATTTCCTAAAATAATAGACCCAACTTACTAAAACACCTGTAGTGAGAAGCCTTATCCGAAACAATGCCCAATGACTGCTTCTTTATCAACTATGTCACAAACCCATTTCGTCATCCCACTTCTCATGGTGCCATTCTACAAGGAAAAGGGAAGCCCACAATGTCCCTATGGTCCAGCGGCCCCACAGTCTCAATGCTACAATTTTTTTTTTAATGGTTTACGTGCTATAAATTTGGAACCACAAGTAGAGGGAGCGATAGGAGACAGCCCTCCAAATGAGTTCTGAACTTTCAATTAGGAGAGAGAGAGAGGTAGAGAGAGTGGGGTAGAGAGAGAAAGAGGGTTAGAGAGAGAGATAGACATGGCAGGGTGGGCTCCTTATGCGATGATGATCTTCCTGCAATTGGCATATGGTACAGCAGATATTGTAAGCAAGGGAGCTATGGAGAGAGGCATGAGCTACCACGTTTTCATTATGTATAGACACGTTGTCTCCACACTCGTTCTCTCTCCTTTTGCTTTCTATTTAGAGAGGTAAACCTCTTTCACACATACATGAATCCTAATTTAATTACACCATCATTTTTCTTTTTAACCAGTATTCAATTACACCTTCATTAACCAAAACAAAAAAAACTTCAAATTCATAGCCTTCTTTGTTGAGATATTTTAGAGTAGAAGTTCTCATACTCCATCCCAATCCCCATTTTATTTACCAATGTGGCCAGGTCGTTATGCATTTCATAGGGTGCTTCTTAACTCTCTTTTTTTTTTTTTTTGGATAAAACTTGAGATGTAGTGTTGCTTGACATCAATTGCTCGAACTTGAAATGTAGTGTTGCTAGACATCAATTGCTAACCACTGAAGCCCAAGCTCAATTCCTCAGTGCTTCATAACTAGTGAAAGACAATGTGAGATTGTATTGGCTATTTGTCGGAAAAAAAATAAAAAAGCATCAACACATGTAGGTCATGTTAATTTTCATCTTGAATGCAAGTGTATGTAGGTGGACATGTGTGATGTACGTGGGTGTACTTGCATGCTTGCATTCATATGTAAGGGTTTCCATATTTGGCATGCGCACTGTTCATGAAGCATTCGAGTGCATGTCTATTCATGAAACACTTCACAAACACCAATTCCTCTTATTTCGATTGCTTTTGTTGCTTTTGTGTGTTAATGAAATGCTTTTGTAACTTTCGTACTAGAATCCAATTTTTGTAGGTTCCCACTTTGAGTGATTTCATCAAAAAGTAGCCACTCAAGAAAAAGGGTGACAAATTTGTCTGGTTTCCGGAAGAACAAAGATGTGCTGAACTAATATTAAATAATAAAAAAAAGAGACGTGCTAAATAACCTCTATCAAAAATAAGTGGATAGAATTTGATAAAGAAATAGGTACGTATAGTATGTTCTTTCGGGAGCATAGTTTATTTTTATTACCTTGGTTAGAAGACTTGGATGTATTTTTTTTCAATATGAAATTTTGGGAGCCACTTATGAATTTCTAGATAATTATTTTCAAAACAAAAGAAATTTTAGTTTTCTAACAATCTCTCCATCTAAAAATTAGATGATCTTTTTTCAATCTCCAAACATTATTTTTTTTCAAGTGCATGCAGTGTACAATTAGAAATATTTTTTTATTGAAACTTGTCAATGGGTTGATATGTTGCATTCCCAAATTTTGGGCTCCTAAAATTAACTCTAGGTGAGATTATGGAAGAATCATTCTACCCGAGGGAGTAGAATATCTTTTCCCTTAAAAACAAATTCGTTTTCTCAAGTTTTTTTTATGGGAAGACATCGATATAATTTATTTATACATCTTACATTTCTTTTCCATACTTCGATCTGATGGCAAGAAAAGTAGATTCTAGAGGCATCTTTATTTTGCATATTGAACCGATTATAGAAAAAGGGCTGGGGTCGTAGTATCCCCACGTATAGCCTGTCTTCCCCCACTTAATTACTCAAAAAAAATAAATAGTATTTGAGCTGATTTCAAATCTTCTTTTTTTGTTTTTCTTAACTTTTCTGGGAAGTTCTTGATCTAATACTTAAAATCAAGCAAAAATATCAGACAATTTTCCTTCCTGTTGTTCTTTTTTAATTTCTTCCCTTTTCTTTTATTTCCTCTTTTTGATGTAATTATCAGACTCTAAGAAAAGAACCGGTCATTATCAATACAAGTCACCACATGAGTACGAAAGAAAAGAAAATAATCTAAACAGATCTTCTTATCTTCTGAAATGATGCAGTAGCATTTATTATTCACAACCTTAAAGGAGAAGCTCTCGATTAGAAATAGATAGACCATTAAAATATAATGAAAGGTTTGATATGTTGCAGGAAGACACGCCCGTCTCTCACGAGGCCGATCTTCTTCAAATTGTTCTTGTTGGCTTTATGTGGGTTTACAGCGACACAAAATGCTTACTTTGCTGGCCTCATGTACTCCTCTCCCACCGTAGTCGGTGCCATGAATAACATTTGCCCGGCCATAACCTTCATCTTGGCAATGATTTTCAGGTATTATACTTCCTCTTAAGTATCACCTTAAAAACCTTCACTTTTACTGGTAAATCTGAGGATATTGTATCAATCTATCAACGGTACCTCTCTGATATGCCTTGTTACAGTACCATAGTAACAGGATTTAGACAGCATTAACTTTCAACTATCTAAAGTTGAGCAATTAAATAGGAATTGCTTTTCAAAATTACTGAAATATGAAGAATATCTTTCGAAACTAGAACATGGCATGTGATTCTTTTGTGAAATAATCTTAGTTGCTCATCAACTGAATTTGTATTTTTCTCAAAATACAGGATGGAAAGTGTAAAGATTAAAAGTCCTAGAGGGCAAGCCAAGCTCTTGGGTACCTCGATATGCATAGGCGGCGCTATGCTCTTCGCCTTTTATAAGGGTCACCTATTTCCACCATTAAAAATCCCCTTCATTAACATTCATAGCTATAATTCTGCTGGTGGTACAGAACATGCCAAACCAGACTGGGTTAAAGGCTCCTCCATTGCAATTGTTGCTACATCATGCTGGAGCGTATTCTTGATCCTTCAGAATTCAGTTTACAAACTCTATCCTGCCCCTCTTTCTATGAATGCTTGGATTTCTTTCCTTGCTGTGATGCAATCTGCAGCAGTCGCAGTGATCTTCGACAGGACGGCTTCACCTTGGAAGATTGGCTGGAATTTGGAACTCTTATCCTATGTCTATTATGTAAGTCCCATTCTCAATCCAGCCAATGATGTTGCAGTGTCACTTCCAACTATAACAACAGAGATTAGAACCCAAAACGTCCCATATTCATAATCAAATGATTATAAACTAAGAATATGGATTTTCTTAAAAAGATTTACGAGCAACAGTCATCGTATACAACACTATCGAACATTTGGAAGAAACAAATAGGTTTGCAGTGAACCTTCTTCCACTACTAAATGTTGGTTTTATAAAATAAAATTAGAAGTAACATAATTATTTGGAATTGAAGAATAACATCCTTCCTACTTTGGTTGATATATGATTTGGAGAAATTGTATGACAATTGGATGAACAGCAGTGGAATTTATAAGGATATGAGGAGATTACAGCTAGGGAAGAGTTTGATTGAGGTCCTATTCTACTGTGGCCTCATTTCAAAAAAATATGTGAACTCTCTTTTACCCCTTTTTAGGATAACCGTGTCTCAATGTCATACTTTTCACAAGAAAGTTTTGGAAGAGTTTTTAATCCAAATTCTTAAAAACTTCAAAACCAACTCATTGCATGTCAAAACATGTCAAATTGAATGGAATTTCAAGAGTCATGATCCTCTCCAATTAACATTATGGAAATGCGATGCAGGGGATTTTGGTTTCTGCAGTAGGATATTCTCTACAAGCTTGGTGTATTGCCAAGAGAGGACCGGTGTTTGTCGCCCTGTTTTTTCCCCTTCAACTTATCATCGCAGCTATCCTTACCGCCCTTTTCTTCAAGGAACGTCTTCACTTGGGAAGGTTTGCATTTCTCCTATGATTATAAATTTCATTCAATTTTGGCAAACTTTATGGAGAAATTCAGGACAGTCACTACAAGAAATGGTGCCATTTTTCAATTTACTTAGGAAACGTAACAGGCCTGTTCGATTAGAAATAAGAATAACATTGCACAGCAGATTAATCAAACATAGTAATGGCTGATTTTTTTTCTTATTAAATTGCAGTGTGGTTGGAGCAATTCTTATAATAGTGGGCTTTTATTGTGTTATGTGGGGAAAGAGCAAAGACGATAAGAACGACGAGAAAGTGGAAGAGAAAAATGAGATGATTGCGGATGTGGAGAAAGCAAGCAAGGTTTGAGCAAGGGAGAAGTGTAGTAGCACATGTTCTCATCGTGTGGTCAAATCCTTTGCTAAGCCTACTCGATTTTGTTATTGTTGTGATGCTGCTTATGCGTTCATTCATGTCTGCGGTGTGGTAATATCTCCCCTGCGTCACTTGGCTGTATCGTACTATACCTTTCATTTTCAGATGAAAATTTTAGATTTTTGCTGGAGTGTTATATGCCCAATAACCTTTGTTGCTCTCTCTCGCTCTTTCTCACATATAGAAAGGAAAAACAGTACCGATGTGGAAAAGGTAAAATCAGAAACATTTAACGCGATGAGGAGCCCAGTAATGTAGAGAGATCAAAAAAAGAAACAGAGGAATGGGTTTGTGTAAAATACCAAATCTCAAGATTCAGGCTCAGCAGCTGAGGTGAGAGTGAGAGGCCCATAATCCCTAAATCAGGAAAAACTTAAGTCCAAAACTTTGATCTTGAAATCCATAAAATCTAGTGTTTATTGCTCATATGTGATCTATCTAATTGATTGATTATGGGAAAAGTGTACCATCAGAATATGAAGGATTCCTCCATTTGGAAATAACTCGGTTCGTCCGAAAGAAATAGACTCAACTAAAACAAACATAGTTATAATAACTTTTATTGTTTGTAAAAAGGCTATTTATCTTTTGTACAAAGAGGTCATAATCATTTTTATCTATTAAGTTTCAAGATGAGTGGTTGTAAGAGTATCATTGATAGATACAAAGTTTCGAAAAGAAAATCTCAGACTTCGTGACTTACTTCAAGCCATCCAATTGGACATCTAACTCCAAGCCATCCAATTTAACATCTAATGAGTTGTTATCTCCTTGTAATAAAGATAAATAACCTACTTGTAGATATCGTGTAGCAGATCTCAATTAATTAGAAAACGACTATAATGATGATGAGTCTCTTTGTAGACAATCCCCATTTATATATGGTTATAACCTTGCTTATAGACATAAAGGTGCAATATTCTACACCGTCTGTTATAGTGAGGAGTAGATTTCACATGACTTTTAAGACAAGTTAAAAAAGTTGCACGCTTTTTACAATAATGTCAAATCTATACTATCCAAATAAAATTGATGGTATAAGTTAAACTACTACATATAAGGTTGCAACATTAGATATTTTTTTTTTTCTTTATATAAGCTTATATGAAAACCCAAACGAAGTGTCACAAAAATCTTTACAGTAAATCTTTTACCCTAACAATAAATTATTAGCGATAACAAGTGGCCTAAATAGGCCAATGGCCCGTTATTTTACCTCCTGACGCTTTAGATTAACAAATGTGCTTGTAATTGTAATGTAGCCCTTACCATTCATTTTATCAAGGCAAACTGTTATTTTGCTGGGTGTCTCAAAAGGTTATGAGTTGAGACCATGGATTCTGTATATTTTTATTTCATGTGATTTTAGACCCTTTGGGTTTAGACCGGTGTTTAAAAAATCGCCGTTTCGATCTAAAATCGAACGATTCGGATCCACTAATAAAACCTATGGTTTAAAAAACGGATCGGTGACCCGGATCGGGCACCCAAGAAACCGATCCGGATCGGCGAATCGGTGATCTGGATCGGGAATCGGGTGAATCGGTCAGAATAAAGTTTCAAAAAAATCCGAAAAAATTATTAAAATTCATTACAAATATTTTTTTTTAGGAATTCAATAAGAAATGAGGATACTCCATTAAGAATTTTTATGTTTTTGAATGAATATGCGAATATTGATATGTTCTTTCCCTGCATGAACCGCCATTCAGCATTTAATTTACATCACACAAAAGGATAAACATAGAATTATCATGGAATAAGTATATCAACATACATGGACTACAATAAAGCATAAAATTAGTAACATACGATCTAAAAATAAAATGATAGACGACGTTGTTATTATTCTTGGTCACACTAGTGCCATTGATTGAATTCGTTTGACAATTCATTGATTCGATCTAAAAACGAATCATTGATATTAGCAGGCGTCTGACTATTCCCAAGTCCCTGAGTGTTAGTGTTTTGTTGTGTTCCCAATCCAAAATCTCTGAAGCTTGTCCATCCTTCATGCTCACCTGCACTGTTGTGCTCATCCCTACACTGTTACTGTTGGGACTCGATATGTGAATAATATGGCTGGGATAGGGTGGCCTCAGAATCATCATCTCTCTCATTTTCTCTTAGACCTCCTTCCCACTCTTCCTCATTAGGTACAATATCACCGACATCTCCGACGAATTGTGGATACGTTGGCTGGCTGCTTCTTCTTTCATGCTGCTCATCACTTTTTTCAATATCTTCATCACCGATAGCCTCAAGGAACGCTCTCTTGTGCAACACTGGCTCCTCCTCTTCTACTACCCATTGGTCTGCTGTGTCTGTGACAAATATTGTGTCTAAGTCTATCGACCCATAGTCTTCAAGCTTCCTTCTTATTTGTCGCTCTCTGAGGTTTAAATTATAATGAACGTAGACTAGTTTATAAAGCTTCTCAGAAGCGAGTCGATTCCTCCTAGTAGTGTGCAACCATTGGAACGTACTCCAGTTGCGCTCATAGCCAGTAGCAGAACATGTCTTGGAGAGCACCTTGATTGCTATCCTTTTTAGGTGAGGTGCATCAGTACCATATATCTCCCACCATTCAGCTGGATTAAAATGCAAAAAGCATTGTAAGGGCAAGAACAATTCATAAGATTAAATATATGAATGAACAAAATATTAGCGAGAGGATAACCTGGATCCATCATAGTTCGAGAATTTCTGGCAAGTTTAGTTCTGAAGGATCCTATAACATCCCTATACATAGCAAGCTAAAACAAATATATTACGTTTTAGTGCATTATTCCTCACAAATATAACAACTCAATGAAGTTCTTACCCAAACATTAAATAATACCTCTTGTATTGCTGCTACTTGGTTTCGATGGCTTCTCTCCAACCTTGCAATAATGTATCTGACCCCTTCCATAATCTTGTGGGGTTGTTCATGTGTCAAATAGAAAAATTTTGGGTTGAAGTAGTAACCTAAAAAATATATAGGTAGAAAAATGTCATTTACAATTTTATAAAAAAATGATTTAAACTGAAACATTGTAATGATATAAATATATATTTATCAGCATAATAAATTGGACGTCCAAATTTGGTGTTCCACCTTCTTTCTATAATCTCGATCACTTTGCTAGCAAAATTACACTTCTTCCCAATAGCTGATTTCGCCCTCTCAATACCTTCATAAAGGATACCCATGGTAGCTTTCTTGTCAGCATCCACCATTCTTAACACCGTAACCAAAGGGGCAGTGGCCTCTACAACACTGGAACATCGAGACCAGAACTGCCTATTTGAGATTATGTTGTCCACTTTTATACCGGTACTGGACTTCGAGAGGCGGTCATTTAACCACTCTTCACAAGTAAACAATCTCTTTAATGCACCTTCAGATTCTCGAATGGAGTCCACAGCTAAGTAATCGGTCGCAAAGCGGGTTATGGCAGGCCTGATTATCTCTTTTTTCTTAGAGTGTTCCCTAAACAAAAATAAAATTTTAGAGTGGTTGTATATAAATCTCGACACCAACCTTGCTTCCTCTAGAGTCTCCTTCACAATTTTGATCGCACCGATCTCCTCTAACATGAGATCGATGCGGTGTGCTGTACACGGGGTCCATACTAGATGCTTCCTCTTATCCATCAACTTGCTGCCCGTAGAAACACATGCACGCGCATTGTCCGTAATAAACTGGACTACATGCTTATCTCCCACCTCCTCCACTATCTGATCATATAGTCGTACGTAGAAGTTTGCATCCTTCTTTGTCCCTGATACGTCTTTGCTAGACAAAAAAGCTGTACCTTTTGGAGAATAGGCCAAGAAGTTTAAAAACTCCTTTTTGTTAACTTTATTCAACCAACCATCACTCATGAGAGTAATGCCTGTCTTTGGCCAACTATGTTTATATTCTTCAATCCACTTTTTAACTTCCTCCACCTCTTCATCTAATATTGGCCCACTGAGCTCATATGCCGTCGGGGGTTTTACCCCCGGCCCGACTCTCTGGATTGCACTAACTATAGGTGGATATGGGCTATTGGCTGCATCAAAGGGAATCCCTTTATCGTAGAACTATTTATCAACATATCTCCCTAACATGTTTCTTGTACCTTTAACCATGCCTTTTAGGGTCATCTGTTGTGACTTAGGCTTTGAGAGAAATGGGTCTTTACGACCATGACCTGCAATACTGGCACTCCTAGGTAACCTAGAAACAATTTCTTCAACAACTGATTCTCCTTGATACATATTGCCATCAACCCTTCCATACATATTTGAGCTGGGCCCGCCATACATGCTTTAGCTGGGCCCGCCATGCATATTTGAACTAAGCCCACCATGCATATCTGAGCTAGGCCCACTATGCATGTCTGAGCTAGACCCCACC